TATGATATACCTTATTAAGAATGGTCACTAAGAAGCATATCAAGAGTCATAAAAAGATCTTCTTTACTCTGCTATCATAGTAACAATAATTTTGTACATACTTTATGAAATAGAAAACACAATTAGGTTTTTTTTTTTAGATACTATCCTCTCCCCCCAACCAAAATGAGACATTGTCCTCAATGTTCTAAGGTAGAAAGATAGAGTATAGAAGATATCACCTGAAATAACGAGCACTGACAAACCTGAAACACACTGAAACAAATATAAGAAACAACAAAACACAATAATAAAGTATCTAAATTAAAAAGGTTTTTGCCTTGTCTGTGTCATAAATGTCTATCTCGCCGCTAGATAGTTATATTTTGTTAGGTTACTTTTAAACCATGTCAAAGGAGCTTAAAGCTTTGAAGACTTAAGAAAGGTTTCTGGAGTTGTTTATCTAACATTTTGGCTTTCTTACAAAACCTTAAGCGTTTTAGGTGATGATAATAATGGGTTGAGGCTTTTTATGAAGCTATTATAAGTTCCACATCTCCATAACTTAGATAATTTTTTGTTAGCGTTATTTTTTTTTGTGAAGTTGTGGATCTAATACCTTTATTCCTTGAATGTTTGCATTTAATGCTTGATGATATCATATACCAATTCAGATTAACCTTCAACATGCCAAATCTATGATTATCATAAGCTAAGTAGTGAAATTATGTTTTGTACAAGCTTGAGTTACTTTTTAATGTTGTTGTCACATATCTTGAGAAACATGATTTCTTAATATCACTTAGGAGTTGTTATCTAATGTCAAAAATAAACTTTTAAAGGGAGAACTAAATTATAATATCGTTGATTTAACCTGTCAACATTTATTTACTCTTTCTATACATAACCAATGCTAGAAAAATATCTATGAATATATCGTTAAATATGTTCTTGATAAATCCCATACATTGATATTTGTCCATAGCCATAAAAGCATCGAGAAAAAAAATTTGTGGCATATAATAATAAATAAAATAAGGTCTGAAGATTTGACAATGCTTGTTATTGCCTTATCCAGGATTGATTCACTTTTGTTACTGAGTGGAGAAGTGCTCATTCAAGGTTTAATATTCATCTTCTCGTTATTAATGGCTTATCATATGAGATAAAGAAAAACATATATCTTTCACACTTGTTTGAAATGATAACTCTTATCAGTTGGGATGAGACTTCGATGAATAATAGATGTTATTTTAAGACATTGGACTATTCATTGCGAGTTGTTTTAGGAAACGATCGAGACTCTAAGCAATCAAAATCATTTGGAGGGAAATCAATCTTATTAAAAGGGATTTCATGCAAATTTCATATATTGTTCCTAAAGGAACAAAGGAAGATTGTTCATGCTTCTGATTTCATGCAAATTTCATATATTGTTCCTCCAGGAACAAAGGAAGATTGTTCATACTTAGTAGGTTGGCCTTATAGCCTAAGTTCAAAACCCTCACTTTTAAAAAGAAGAATATGTGCCTTTCATTCGATGGCTTTGATGAAAAAACAACAAAAACAAAAGGAACTTCATGAATTTGCTTAGTGGATTCTTTCAATTAAAAATGGGGAAATATATGACCTCACATTCCTAGATGATTGTGATGTATCTCTGGTTAAAATCCCATCAGATCTATTGTTAAATGTCAGGTTAGATCTAATTACAACCATTGTCTCAACAATTTATCCTTGTATTTGTGAAATCAATATTGAAACAAGCTATTTTAGAGAAAAGGCAATCATCACTCCGAAGAATGTTACAGTTACTTTGATAAACAATGTTTTCCTTAATAGTTCATTAGGGGTCAAATGCCTTTACCTAAGAACTGATATTATCTATAAGTCCTTTGGCGATATTAATAATGTTGATTTATTATACCTTGTTGAGTTTATCAAGAAACTCAAGTTTAATGATGTGCCCTCATATGCCTTTTCTTTGAAAATAAAAACATTAATCATGTTATTATGTAACATAAATATATCAGCTAGACTATGTAATGGAATAAAACACAATGTTACACAAGTTGTCGAGAGAGTGATCAAAGTAAAAATTATAACAAGGTTTAATATTGGAAGGCATGTTTTCATCCCAAGAATTGTCTTTCATATAAATGAAGGAAGATGCCCATTCACAATTAGACAAAGACAATTTCCTATTAGACCATACTATCATATGAAAATAAGCAAAATCTATGGCTAATCATTGAAAGTCATCGGCATTTTTCTCAAAGAACAAGTTTCCAATCATAGCCAATTAGATATTGCTTTCTCATAAGTTACGTCATATAAAAGGCTTAAAATAATCACATATGACAACAAAGAAAAACCTTTTAATTATGCTAAGAATATTCTCTATAAAGATGTCATAGGATCTATATCTAGAGAATGATTGTTTTAAATTGTAAAGGTTAAATGCAGTTATTAATCAATGCCTTCTAAGGAATTGCTTTCTTTTTTCAACGACCCTTCTAAAGTTTCAAGAGCCTTTTTTTCTTTATTTGTTAACTTTTACCTATTCTCTTGTAGTTTTTTTTCCACCTTTCCTATTTTTTTATTTTTTCAATTGCATTATGTGTTACTAAATTAGATTCTTTTTATATATGTTTTTTTATATATTTTTTGCCTCTTATTTATATGAAAAAGACATAGCATCTAAACAACTAGATTATATCTTTGAATAGCTATGGCTATTCCAATTCAAAACATCAAGAAGTTCTCTTTATCCATTGATTGGTGCTCGAGTCTATCTTTTGTGGGTAGCAAAATTTGATGGCAACTTAGCAGCTTTAATTGTATTTTGTTGACAATTAGATTAGTTTTTCCTTGTTATCACTAATCTATTAACAATTTGTTCTTCTTTTAAATAAATAAATAAATTATATGTGGTAATATTTTTATAGCATTCATGTCTTCATCATTACATATTAGTTTAGTCATTGTTTTATTCTTTTGATGCTTTTATACTTCTTTGCTTACATCTTTTTTTCTTCCTATAAAAAAACATGGCAAATTACTTTCCAAATTGTCATTTCATTAATACATAATTTTTAATTTATTTTACAATTGGATTTTTTTTTCCTTTTACAACATTTCTTTCTTCTTTTTTTTTTTTTTTAATTTAGGGAAAAGCAATTCAAGGATCGACAAAAGTAAGGGATATTCCATTTTTCAATAACTCCATTGTTGTGGATGAACACTATCAAATAAAAAGCTTTTACACCTACGAGAATAGGTCAAGAAACTTGATGATTCCAAACAATATTGTCGTTGACTTAAAATCTGACATAATAATTTCTATCATTTCTTCTATTATACTATTATTGTTGAGGC